AGAATTTAATCGAAAATCATCAGATACTTTCCAGTTTTTGAACTTTTTTCAATTTTAAGCGGTTCAGCGATTTATAAACCGCCGACCATCTCATAGGCCATTTTAAAGTAGACTTAACAACGAGTAAAATGACCAATAATACACTTTCCAAATTAAAAAAAAGATCGAGGCAATTTTTCTAGGAAGAAAAGGGCAGTTCTTTCGAAAAATGTAAATAACGCGAAAACTAGTGGCCTTCTGAACTACGAAAAAGTCGTGCTTATTCAGCATAAAAAGATTTTTCAACAATTTTTCATGTAAACCAATTCTTTTATGCGCAAGGAAAAAATTAAATACTGAAAGATAGGTTTTCCCCCATTTGGACGGTTAATTTGAGGTTGTATCAAAAAGTGTTAAATACAACAGTTTTAGATTTTTGTATTATCCACAACTCTGCGATTGAATTTCGCTTCGCTGCTAATCGCAAAAACCCGTTTTCGGCCCATAAACTTAGTGTTTTCGTGTTTAATTTTTTTTTTTCTTAAAGTTGGAACCTCCACAACATTTTCCACCTGCCTCTTACTTGTTATTCCTTTTTTTACTATCGGAAAATTCGTATCGGCGCCAGCCTATTGTTTAATTGTTTGAAAACGGTGGAAGAAGCGAAGCTCCAGTTAAGTAAAGGTCAATTTTTTGCAATCGCTCTTGACTTTGCTCCTATTCTGAAGAAATTTATGCCAAGGTCTTTGCTTTGGTTTAAAGCAGTGTTTTTCGCATTCGGAATCGGTTAATTTACAATTCTGATTTTTTATTCCAATTTACTGATTCCAAATTTCTATTGCCGGTTTCACCTAACTTCTTCATTTTCATGTGGCTACTTGAACTCTTATGCTTATGTAGACAGTTGAAAGCAATTTTTTTGGTGTTCTTCATCACTACTTATTCCGACGTGTTTCGCTAATCTACCTATTTGATTCATGATTTTTTGTCGTCTGTCCTTACTGCTACTGAGTGCTCAGCCAGTTTAAAAAGTTTCATATCTGCAAATTTCATTGGTTTTGTTCGAATCCCATTAAAATGCCTCGAATTTACACATAAGTCCTTAAAGAATTTCCATGTGAGTTGTTTCAGAGCCCCATGATAATTGGCCAGATGTTCATGTCCACAAAATATGTAGCGTGCTGAGCAATTAAAACAACTTTAGCAGCACAATAACATGATAATTCATTGAAACCCAACATGGACATTTCATCAAGAGCCGTGCAACATGTTGCACCATCGGCTTTGTTTTTCGTTATAATTAGGCGGGTATAAATAATGCGCAACCAACAAATATACAAATCCTTAATGTCAGCCTGGTGCAATTTAGCGAAATAATCTGGTTCTGTACATAGTTTAACATAATTGAACCAATTATCGGCTGTTAATATTCCATATATAACAGTCCGTTCATGTGGTTGGTAGACTGTGTGGTCCAGTAATTCACTGTATGAGGTAATTCCATTGATCAAACTTTTCGCCAGTATGTAGATTCTTCTAATGTGGCTAAAGGTACGAAAAGAGTGGCTCCAAGGAGTTCAGTTCAGTTTGCAACGCTTAGACTATAGTTTTCATAATTTAATTAAAGAATTAATTTATTATAAATCAAATTAATTCCTGGGCTTCGGTCATTTATTGTCTCCATTAATTAACTAATCTACTATTAAATGGCACCACAAAAATGTACATTTTGCACTGGCCGGTTAAAAACACAAATATTAGTCCACCACCAACACGTATAAATTCCGAGCGGCACCTCCACCCAACACAAAGCCTTAGAAAAGAAACAAAAATCAATCTGAACTACTCTACTACAGTTTCAATCCAACACAAACAAACTAATTAATTGATCAATGGAGCATTTTGGTGCGATTTCTGTCCATTGGCGGGGCAGATGTGAAAAGCTGCGGAAGCATAAGCGCATTATACTCACAAAACTTCTAAACGTGTTAGCGCAGCTAAAGATTGCGCGGGTATTCTGCGCAAATCGTTGCCGTCGATGCGCAAACTGCGCAGATTCGGGAGCGACTCGAACGCATCGGCCTCCAAGTGTCCAAAGGCGTTGTAACCAATTTGTCTGCCAGGGGAAATTAGAGTAAAATAGACACTGATTAGTACAATCGCTGAATTGGTCTCATCAGGAAGTAGCGACAGCATGTGCACAGGGCGACTAAAAGTTCACCCAGATTATTAACCAAAACTAAAGTTTTCGGCAAATAAATGAAATTCCCTGTACATTATTTGGAATCTACTTCCACAGAAGGCATCGATTAGTCACATCACATACAATTTGTTAGTCACATATTAGTGTTTGATAAACATTTGGAAACTGCAATTGCGAGYTCAATTATTCGCCCCAGTGATTTTCGTGRTTCGTTTGATGCCTCAGAACAGACGTTCCTGCAGTTTCCTGCTCCTTCCAACGAAAGAGGACTTCTTGGTGTATGTCGGTTGCGACATTCAAATTAGGAGCGGAAGAAAAACCCAGTCAGTCCGTCAGCGACCCACCAAAAAATCCCCTCCTCCCCAGAATTATTAAATTAAAGGCTTCCTCCGGCTTTATAATAAGGAGGATTTATACCTTCACCAGCAAAAAATCTTATTTAGGTAAAAGATACTTTAGTGCTGTCGACAGCTAAAAGAATCACAGCCGCAATATCTCCTGTTGGAGGAGGGGTATATTTATCATTCAGTTCCCTTTTGTTAAGAAAGATCTATGTTGGGGGCTCATCTTACTATTGCTGATTTATTGCGAGCTTGCCCAATCGGACAAGGCGCAAAAACGCCACTGGATTCACGGAAAAGCATTTCACATGTCGACCTGGACAGTTTGGAACAAACAATTTGACCTGCAGAGGAAAGTAATTAATAAACACGCCATCCAGCATACTTACAGTGTTTGCAGCTTGATCAAGGCCCTGAACGCTTCGGATGGAATATGTTTTAAACCACAGTTTTGTAGAATCCTGCAACCGAAAGGAAACATCGGAGCATTAGATTCTAAGTAAATTCAAACATAAATAATTGATAAGACACATTCTGCAGCTTTTTCTTCAGGTCCAGCTTCTCAAAGCGGCAAGTTAGCAGGCGTTTTACGGGCCCATAAACTGTTTGACGGCACAAACATAGAGCCGATCGGTTATTTGCAATGCAAACCCTCTACAAAGGCATTCTTTCCAA